GGATTTGCTTGAGAAGCATCTATGGATGCAAGCCAGCGTTTTGGTCATTTTACTAGCCGCCGCATCGCATTGCAGGCTCATGTTCATCTTGTGGTCAATGATGACCCCCAAGTCTCTTTCTTCCATAGTGCTAGCCAACATAGCACTGCCGAGCCTATAAGGATGCTGCGGGTTTTTTTTCCCAAGGTGGAGAACCTTGCATTTATCAGCGTTGAACACCATTAGATTCTCGTCCGCCCACTTGCTGAGCCTGTCCAGGTCAGCCTGGATCACCCGCCTGTCTTCTGGTGTGGATAGGCAGAGCCGGATGTGTCCCTCGGCACTGATTGGTGGAGAGGACCCAGTGGGGAGGTGGGATGAGTGGCCAACATCTTGATTGCTGGTAGCCCTTTGTGCTGCCTCAACTCTCGGCGCTGATTGGTGGAGAGGGGCAGGCAAGTGGGGGAGGGACACGGGGGCAGTCACCATCTCATCTGCTGCCCTTTATGCCACCCCACGAGCCAGTGCCTTCCCCTCCCAGCAGTGAAGCCTGCTGGCTCCCACTGGGAAGCCAATATTTTATTTTTATTAATTTATTTTTGTTGTTGATTTCATGGATCTTGTGGACAATCCCGGATTTCACAGGTTCTGTGAAACCTGCAAAACTAGAAATTAAGTATGCGTGTGTGTGTGTGTGTGTGTGTGTGTGTGTGTGTGTATACGCGCACACATACATACGCATGCATACATACATATATATACATATATATGTATGTATGCATGCGTATGTATGTGTGTGTGTTTGTACAACACATATATTTTTATAATATGTATAGAGATAAATAATTTATTGATACTTAATGTTTTGCTATCCCAGGTATATAATTATTTCTGTACAAATTATTATGGTGTATTTGCATATGACAAGTGGGTCAAACCAGTTTGGTCTCCTGGGCCAGATCTGGATCCAGATCTGGATCTCTTTACAGATTGGATCTGGGCTTACTTGTAGCAGTGGTGGCAGCAACAGGGTGGGCAGTGGCAGGGAGCTGGGGAGCTTAACACAACCATTGCTCATCCCCTACCATAGAAGCACATCTCCAGTAGAGCTCCACGTCCTGGATTTTGGCAGCAGGCCCTACCCCCATTAATCCCGCCTTGAATTCCTGGTTTTTCTAGGAGCCCCATAAGATGCATGACATGGCTTCATGGGCTGGATCTGGCCCAGAGACTATACATTTGACACCCCTGGAATATAACATGTTATTTACCATATTTACTCAAATCCAAGATGAGGCTCCCCCCATTAACTTGTCTAACATGTATAGGCAGCCATGAAATGCAGGCGCTTCTCACAGAATCGGAGTCTTTATTTTCGGAATCAGTGACTTTGAAAAAGATGAGGTCATAGTGGACCATCGGCTGAACATAGCATTGACACTGAGGCCAAAAGGGCTAATGCAGTCCTTGTATGCATAAGACTGGAACGTGGAGTAATGTAATAGTAGAGATATTACATTATTTTTGTATCTGAAAGTTTGTGTCTGGCACGGGAATATTGTGTCCAGTTCACTTCTGGTGTATACGTTTCAAGATGGACAGTGAAGAAACAGAGGGTTCAGAAAAGAGCCACAAGGATCATTAAACATTTGGAAAATATATCTTGAAGTGAGAGGCTGCAGGAGCTCTATGCATTTAATTTTCCAAGGAGAAGATCATTTTGTCACTTCGTTGACTTAGTCATTGTCTATGAATTTGTGTTTGAGGAGCATGGGAGAGGCAAGGATTTCTGTGGGTGAGGTCTTCTATTTGACAAACTGTATCATTGGGAGGGCCGTAGATGAGTTTTCAGGTACCCAGGTCTCTGAAAAAAAGGAGACAATAGAGTTAAATAGATAGAACAAAGGCTTATGCAAAACTCCCTGTATTAATAAAAACAGGATATAAAAGATATTATCAGGTAGCCAACAGCCAAGAGAAACGTAGTGACCTGAGGATAATCTGATAAGTAGAAGAGCAAGATCATTCAAGAGGGTTGTTATCACCCGTGGAGTGCAAAGAGATTAGCGGGGATCAGGTAAATTATAATGGGCCATGAAACCAATATTTATGTTAAGTCCCTGGATGTTAGAGTCCAGTAAGCTACTACATTTTTTGTTCCCAGGCTGGCCTTTTGAAGGTGTTTTGTAAATCGGGCTTGATCACAAGGACTGTGAGGTCATAAAGGGAGTGTTTTTTTTCCTGTGAAAAAATGTTCTCCTATCCTAATCCTAGTGACTGTCTCCTTTAAGTATTTTTTTTTCTGTGATTGTTCATTCTGTTGCATTTTTTTCTAGCTTTATCCACATAGTTTCCATGAAGGCATTTTATGTACTGGGTGAGACACCCCACTTTAGGTAGATCCATGGCTAGTTCTGGATCCATGGATTCTGATGGTTTTGGTTGCGGGGCGGGGGGTGTTGTTTTTTTTGGCAATAGAGGTTAGCGGGAAGAGTTATTTGTTGGTACAGGACTCTTCAACCTAGCAAACAAAAGCCATAATGATTCAAAGAATCATCTATGAATCTATGAATCAATGTTTGGAAACTGAAGCCAAGCCAAGCAAAAAATCAAACTAGAAAGACAATATACATCTTTAGCAGTGACTGTAGTCAACAAGAAGAACAATGTAGCTAGGATTGTGTTGGCTTCTTTCACCTGAAACCTTGCCAGGCCATGACCTTGAACTTGGGGCTTGACTTGCCTAACTTGGCGGCTCATCCTGGCCCACCATCTTTCCACCTGACCATTCAGGCCAGGCAAGGCTGGTCAGAAACCTCCATCAGGGCCTAGCCATCCACCCACTTCCTGCCACTGGAATCATTGGTGAGAGCCACCTGAACTTTCACTCCCTCCATTATAAACCCATGGCCCAGAACAGGATGTGTCTTGTTAACAAGGCTCAATCTGAACTCAGATTACCTTACTGTTCCTTATGGCTTGTGCCTCTGCTTGCTCTCTTTCTATCTCCTAGCTTCTTGATCTGGCTTGCCCTCTGGCTCCATGTTCCTCTGACCCTTCAGCTTCCTGACTCATCTTATTCCTAGGGGATGCTCTGTTTGATCTCCTGGCTCTTAACTTAGCTTGTCTTCTGACTTCACGCTTTTTGTGATCCCCGCAGTTTCCTATCTCAGCTTGCCGCCAGACCCAGTTCTCAGATTGACCTTCTGGCTCCTGATCTATCTCATCTCTGGAATCTACGCATGGCCCTGATAGCCCCTTGATCACTGAGTAACCCCCAGCCTTAGCCACTCACAACTCGATATCACAGGTTTTTCAATCAAGAATGGATATCTCTGGTCCTTTCTGACCTATGAAGTTGGAACCTATTTTTGGAAGGTTGTGGTGTCAAATTTATGTTTAGATGGATATAGTGACATCAAGCTGGGGGGAGCAATAGACACGCGGGAGGGTAGGGCTAGGATTCAGAGTGACCTAGACTCTTAGGATTGGATGAAAAGGAATCTCATGAGGTTCAATAAGGACAAGTGCAAAGCCCTGCACTTAGGATGGAGCAATCCCATGCACCAGTACAGGCTGGGGGGTGACTGGCTAGTTACCAGGTCTGCAGAAAAGGACGTGGGGGTGAAAGTGGACAGTGAGCTGAATATGAGCCAGCAGCGTGCCCTTGTTGCCAAGAAAGCTAACGGCACACTGGGCTGCATTGGTAGGAGTGTTGCCAGCAGATCAAAGGAAGTGATTCTTTGCCTCTATTCAGCACTGGGGAGGCTACATTTGGCATCCTGTGTTTTTGGAGGTTTTCAAAACCAGCTGGACAAAGGTTTGGCTGGGATGATCTAGTTGGGGATGGCCCTGCTTTGAGCAGGGGGTTGGACTAGATGTGACCTCCTGAGGTCCCTTGCAACCCTCACTTTCTATGATTCTATGGTTGGACATAGGGGTGTTCAGATCTTTTGTTATGGTTTGTAGTATTTTGCATAGTCTGGTTATTTTGAGCAATTGGGTGCTTATAAAGCAAACTGAAGTAAAGAATTAAGCAGCTTGTCACCTCTAGGTTGTCATGTGACCAAAATTCTTTGCCATCGGGTTAGTTCGTTTCCTTGTCCAATGCTGTTAGTTTCAGGCTATGTCTATACTGCTTCCCTGCCCAGCCTGGAACCACTGCTGAGAAATAATTACTCCCACTGCATATATATGTCCAAATCTAGCAGTTAGGCAGAATAGATGATATAATGGGGTCTTGAGAATGTGTCTTGGTGCTGCCGCTATGCAGAGGAAGCCTGAGACGCGCTCGCTCTAAAGCTCCCAACCCAGTAGCATCAACTTCTGCTTCCAGCAAAATTTTGGCCAAGCTCCTCCAAGTCTTGTGCTTCCATAATTTGGCTTACACTCTCAAATGAATCTGCAGCCAGTGCTATCAATAGTGCCACCTTTAGCTTTATTTGCTCTAGGATTACTCCGAGCTAAAGGGAGAAGGGGGAAAATGAACTATGGAACTCGTTTTTTGTTAAACAGGGCAAAGCTGGACTCTGCCTATCTTGGTTATGTAGACTGAGAGCCACACGTTCTCTGCAACGTGTCATAGAGCACAATATGCAGTTTCATTTATAAGGAATCATTGCTTGTATGCATGACCATCTATTCCTTATTCAGTACTAAGGGGCACAGAGCCAACTTCAGGTCAAATCCTGACTCTGGTGAAGACAATGGGAATTTTCCATGGATTCAGTAGAGGCCTGGTTTCACCCTGTGTGGTTTTGCTGGACTAAGCAGCTACGGCTCCATACAACCACACCAACGTGGCTCATCACGAATCCAAGGGAGCTTGCCTGAGCAAAGAGATGGGACCTGGTGAATGTCTGCATCCCAGTGTAGAAGGGTTTCCCAAAGTCCTGTGCACTTTTTAGGACTCAAGGGGAGATTAAGCATGATTTGAAACCTTGTGAACTGGAATCAATTTCTTACACTTTACATGCAATGTTAGTACAAAGTTTTATAATAGTAAATTGATTTTAGCAGCAGCATCAAGCTGATCACTGTGTGAACTTGTAGCCTCATGAAAGACCAGCTTTGGCTTCCAGGATGCTAAGGCACAATGTCTCCAGTATGTTTAGTTGAAGAGCATAGAGTGGGTATTTTCCTGTTGGTTCAGGAGGTGCTTACCCTATTGAGCAGACTTGGCACTCTCTTTTTGGGAGATCAATACCCATTGTAAATAGTGATGTTCAGCTGGCCTTTTTGCTTCTCTGTTTGTGCTTCTAGACCGTGCTGAGGATGAATGAATCTGAACGGCAGTGCAGCTGCTGAGGGGAAACCAGGCACTTGTTGCCAGAGTGGACGTCCCAAAAATATTGATTTCCAAAATCTCGTAGGTAGTGATCATATTTCTCCCCTTGCAATTCCCCAGGGCGTTCCCATAACACAGAAGATGGTAGACAGCTTCCTTTGGCTGCAGAGGTTGGGCTTCTAACACGGAATATACAGATCAAGTCTGACACCATTTGCTCTGGGAGGCTTCTAGTAGGACGCTTTAGAAGTGCCAATGGAGTGGAATATGCAGGTAGGTAAAACTCACCCACTTGGTTCCATTGCAGCAATCCTGCCCAGTTCAGCCCAGGCCAGTACTTTGGAAAACAGCTGTAACTTGTTCTATCTGTTGTATAGCACTGAACCGTCAGGAAAAAAAAAAACCCAAAAAACAACCTTGTAGTGTAGTAATAATAACCTGAAAACCTATCCAGATTTTTTATCAGCATTTTGTCTTGCTTTGCAAACAAATGCTGGGTTTGTGCGTTGGATTTGTATGGCGTTCCATTTATCATCTAGTTCTTTGCAATTTTTCCATGGGTCGGTTCTTGGATAGTATTGTGGTAAATATGGTTATTCTGACTATTACTACTGATGATGATGGTAATGAAACAATCTGCCTCCAGTTACTTTTATCTCACTGCATTTATCACATTGCAGGTGCGCTTCAGCTCTTAAATGTTGAACTTCTGAACTTTGGGCCTTCGCAACTTCCTGCCATTGACTTCAGAAATGTATCCCAGGGATCTGCAGTAATCGCTTGCAGCATTCACCAGACCTGTGGGGGTGGCATTCAATCAGTTGCAAGCCATGGCATTATACTGCGTGATAATGTAATGTTCAGTACAGTTGGCCCTGGCATTGACTTTGAAGGCCAAAACCATTCTCTCACAAGGAACCTTATCATTCTGAGCAAGCAACCAGAAGGGTCACCGAATTGGGTTGCTGGTGTCAAAGTAAACCTAATAGATGGTGCCTACTTACTTGGTAATGTTGTGGCAGGATCTGAACGAATAGCCTTTCACATCAAGGGGCAAGAGTGTTCCCTTGCCAGAGATCAGTGCATTGAAAATGTAGCCCATTCAAGCCTTCATGGTGTCCATTTATACAGAGGAGATGGGTTTCAAAACTGTACCAGGATCACTGGTTTCCTGTCCTACAAGAATTATGACTATGGTGTCATGTTCCATCTTGAAAGCAGTGTCGTGATGGACAATATGACGCTGGTAGACAATGCAGTGGGTGTCCTGCCTGTGGTGCACAGCTCTTTTGAGCAGCACTGTTTAAGGAAAGAATACATCAAATTTAGGAACTCTGTCATTGTTGCTACGAGCAAAACGTTTGACTGCATTAAGGACAGAATCAAGCCCCTCTCAGGTGACTCGACTTCCAGGGACCGAGCTCCACGTTACCCTCGAAGAGGCCGCATTGGGATTCTGTGGCCTGCATTCACCTCTGATACAAGCCGATGGCCTGATAAACCATGGCACAAAATAAGAAATGATCCATCAGTCTCAGGAATTATGATGCTACAAGGTTGGTCTTTCATTGGCGTTAGCTTGAACATCCTAGCAAAATATCCCTTAAATGTAAGGTACTCCACCTGGGAAGGAAGAACCCCCAGCACACCTATAGGTTAGGGAGTGTCCTTCTTGGCAGCTCAGAGGCAGAGAGGGATCTTGGAGTAATAATTGACTCCAAGATGAACATGAGCCGGCAGTGTAACAAGGCCAATCGCACCTGGTCATGCATTAGCAGGTGCATGACTAATAGATCAAAGGAGGTGATGCTCCCCCTCTATGCGGCACTGGTCAGGCTGCAGTTGGAGTACTGTGTCCAGTTTTGGGTGCCGCACTTCAAGAGGGACACGGGGAATCTGGAGAGGGTCCAGAGGAGGGCCACTCACATGATTAGTGGCCTTCATGATAGACCCTACAGGGGGAGGTTGAGAGAGCTGAATCTCTTCAGCCTTCACAAGAGACGGCTGAGGGGAGATCTTGTGGCTGCCTATAAATTTATTAGGGGAGGTCAACGGGGAATAGGGGAAGTGCTGTTTACTAAGACGCCCCAGGGAGTAACTAGGAATAATGGGTGTAAACTAGTTGAGAGTGGATTTAGGTTAGATATTAGGGTGGCCAGGATCTGGAATGGGCTTCCAAGAGAGCTGGTGCTATCACCTAGCTTGGAGGTCTTCAAGAGGAGGCTAGATAGTCACCTGGCTGGGGTCATCTGACCTTGGTCCTCTCTCCTGCCAGGGGCAGGCGGTCGGACACGATGATCCATTGTGGTCCCTTCCGACTCTACAATCTATGAATCTATG